AGAATATGATTATTGTAGAATACAGTAAAGTGAGTATATACAGAACAAGGTTCAAACATTTTAGAGCTACAACACTAGAAAATAATCACCTTCTAATTCTATAAATATTAATGAACTGTAAAACTGACTTTTGATGAAAAGAAATTGCAGAAAATGCCGTTTTGGACTTGCAAATAAGGAGATGTCCTGCTTTTCTCTTTTTTATAATCATAATAAACTTAATATCCTTACGTTTTGGGCCAAAAAAAGAGAAACCGGTGTGGATGCATTATTTGTTATTATTTTCTGACATGTTATAGACTAAACACTTATTAGATTAAGATCATATTGGATTTATAAAACATAAACTGGTATTGTAAAAGTACCACTGTTCTGACAATAGAGTAGTTGTGCAGAATACACAGAATGCAGGTCTCCCTTGAAAAAGAGATCGATGATCTCAATGGGATTCACCTGGTTAAATAAAGGTTTGAAATGAAAATATATATTCTACAAATCTCTATAAAAGGTATTTAGTAAAACTGCTCTGTTTGTTGTGCTACTCTAATGCTGAATTACTTCCAGACGATCAATAGTTTGTTCTTATCTTAAGTGTTTCCGTAGGAAAAAGTGAGGTAAAATACTGATATTGTGCAATAGAATCAGCACAACACACAGAAAGTATCTCAGGAAACTGGGGATGTTTTACTGACTACAGGCTGCAAGAAGAATATTTTAGGGAAATGTAAGATCATAAAAATCCTTCATTAATCTCTGTATAGGGAAATGAGGGTGGCACATCAGCAACACGATAAACTAGAATAGGTCAAATACGGATATCATGAGATGTAATAATACAGTAGAGTCTAACACAACACATGAAATAATAGCAGGAAACGGTTAGAGAAAATAATAGTTCACTTAACCTCAATGAATAACTACAGTCTACTAGTGGAATATTACGGGTTCAACTTAAGAGGTAATAACAGAGATGAGTACAGTTGTGTTTAAAAACATACTAAAATGTGAACTGCAGACTCAGTACAGAAATACTATAAACTGTTGTAATAATATGATCAGAGATTAAAGTGTAGTACATTAACATTTAAACAGGCCAATTACCTTTCAAAGACACATTTTTAAAATATTATAGAAATGGTTTATCATGGAAACAACAAATAGTACGGTAATGTTATGCGATGACACTGTCTGGTATTAAGTCATAACCAAATACTATACAATATATTGTAGGAATGTATATGGTAAGGGTACTGGAGGTTACACTACCTTACCATACGATAAAAGCAAAACAGATATTTAGAAGGATAGGCTATACAATAAAGTAGACCCACAAAAAAATAACTGTATGCTACCAGCAGAAGAATTGTACAAGATAAATACTACACAAATATATATCAGATATAGTTCACCATGAAGAAAAACATACAAACTAATACATTGTTCTTTAGAATGTCATAATAGGCTAGTTAAAATATCCATTTCAGTTCAAGATGAAATAATTTACATAAAACAGGAAATCTCCATGTTTTAGAGGCTGAAAACAGCATGTTCTGCAATTGTTAGCATTACAAGTTAATTTTACGAGATTTACAAAAATTACTGTAGGCCTATGCTACCAGCTAAGGAATCTTACAAGATACAGTTAGGTATTAGTACAGAACAGTACAGTACAGATATTGGAACAACTGACAAATCAATAATTTGTGTCCAATAAATATTCAAGGTGCTATCATTAAATGAAAACCAAACCAAATAAAAAAAAAATATATATATTCAGTTTAATGTTTTATCTCCATAGTTCAGAGCTGAACAAATATGTTCCTTCAATGTTTGCTTTAAATTGCTTAACGAAAAAACGATTGTCAAGAAGTTGAATATTATTGTTCTGTGATTACAGATTTTCAATATGACCAAATCTATCGATCGACAAAACGTACACACCAACTTAAGAAACACAAGAGTGGAGTAGTCATTTAAAGTTAGAACAGACTGCGTTGGCGACACTAACTGTAACTCGGGTTATAACGGTTAACTGTAATACACGCTATAATTAAGTCGGCCTACAATGAGAGAAGCTACCAGCTAACGACATTACTAAAAAGGTCACCACAGCCCCACAAGACCCACTGTATGAACACTATGCGAGCATGACAAGAGTATCAAAGGAAGTTGTTAAGAGACAGAAAGTCTGAAGACAGTTTGTCTCCCCTTGACCTCCCCTCCTCCTCCCTGACTCTCTCTTTTCTTATCGGACACCCACTCGTTTTCTTTCACACACACAGAATGCATCAAACACGAGTGAAGCAGCCTTGGAACAGCCCGCAGCTACAGCAGCTAAATCTGGATGAAGTTTCCTGAAAACTTTCCAGACGAAGTTACACACCAGGCACGCTGCCACCCACACACACACACATGGGGCTGTACCCGGGTTTAGACACACACTGACACGGGAAAAAGCAGCCGGTTTAACGGCACAAAGCTCCGGTAAGAACGAACCGAGGAGGACTCACATGAAGGAGAAGCCGCTCGGATGGTGTTTCTTCTTCTCTTTGTGAAGCTGCTGCACAGTTGAGGGTCATAATGATGCAGAAGCCCCGCCCACCAAAGGGGGAGGAGATGGGGAGAAAAGACAGAAGGGAGATTTTTTTGGGTGTGCGGGTTTTTCAACACACCCACGTAGCAATGCGTGTATCTCTAAAATAAACGAAACCTTTTTCAAGGAAATAACTGATGATTGCCCACCACAGGGTGGAAACATATTCTTTCACTTATGTTACCAGCTTTGACGTCTGTGTCCTCAGAGTGCCTTTTAAGCCTAGTGTTTTTGATTAATTTGCCTTTAATTTGACAGTTGGCAATAAGGGCAGGAAGGAAATGTGTGATAATCCATCACACATGAGCAGCTTTGATGAAAGAAGTCAAAGCACTCAAAAGTCTATCCTACAGAAACTTGAAATATAAATCAAAAATACATAACCAGAAACCACAGAAGAATGAAATGTGATTACTACTGTAATTTATTATATGTTGTGTAATTTGTGGTGCACCCCAGCCTTTGGTTTATTCATATTTATCCAGATGTTTCCAGTTGATTGATAGTTTTTAGGCCATTTATGATAAACTGTCCACAATCGGCCAAAGTTATAACTGTGGTTTGAATCTGCTCCAAAGTGCTATCCCAGTTCCTGGGCCTTGCTACACCCTTCCTCTCTCCAGTGATCCTGCTGACAAACAAACAGATAGAACAACCAAACAAACAAAATGGCAAAAACATTACCTTTTCCCTAAAATTATTTTACCAGTGAGAAATTAAACCTATAAAGAGAGAAATAAATAGACAGACGAGAATGAAAATATGAATGAAACAGTCCAAAGGAACAAGTTGACTGATGGTGGATTCCATTTAAAGTTTGAAGACATACATACAACACTGTGCTTTTAATAAGGGTCTGTGTAATTATCACAAAAAAGTGAAATAAGCCTAATACTTTAAAATAGATGACAACATATACGTCTCTATCACTGAAAATTATAGAACCTAAATTACTAATGTGTTAATTTCTACTATAGTTTTTGAAAATCTATGTATGCATATTGGCTATCTCAGTGTTTCTAAGTGATAGCAAAACATATGCAGTTGCTTAACTATATTACACTTATTCTTTAGTCTTTGGGTTGCGGTTCGAATATATGCACACATGCAGGAAAATTACGAATATTTATTGAATCATTCAAATTGTACAATACATTTGTGCTTTTTTTTCAAAAATCCTGACTTTGACGTTTGATAAAAGTGGGATTTTTCATGTGAGCTAAAAATATCAAAATTGTAATGTAGATACAAAGTATATCCTTACAAGATTAAAAAACATCAGACCAATCAAAACCAATGTCTTGGCGTTTTTGTTTATCATAGATATATTCTTTTGGTATGAATAGGTCAAGATTACTAGGAATATTCTTACACTTTGACCCAGTTACCAGAACAGTGTTGAGTGTTATGTGGTGCGTGTGAATGTTTTGATGTTTTAAAGGGGCCATGTTGTGCTTTTTTGAGTTTTTTCATTTCCTGTCGTGTATAATATAGGTTTTTGTGCATGTATATGGTCTGCAATGGCTGCAATCCCAAAGCTCCCTCCAGAGGGAGTTTCTCTCCCACACACTCCCCCCCTGCCTTAAACGCCTCCATTGGACTCCTTTGTTTACTTCAGAAACATAGTGACATCACTATGTAACAGTAATGCTTCTATTTGATAGCGCTTCAGCACATTGTACGTGATAGGCAAGCTCACCAATCAGAGCAGACTGGGCTCTGGTTTCAGACAGAGGGTGAAAAGAGGTGCTGCACTACAGGCAGTATGAGAAAAATAAAGACATTTTTGAACATTAAAGCATGGAGACATGTCACAGTAGAGGAACAACATACAAATATGAACCTGAAAATGAGCATCAAAGGGCTCCTTTAATGAAATGTAGGACGAGCCAACTACTTTTTCCCCCTCTTGAGTATGATAAAGTTCTTTAGTAATCTATTTTTCAGGAATCTGTAGTTCCTCTTAAAGAATAACTACAGATGGTGTCTGAAGCTTCCTCTTTTAAAAATAGATATTTTGTAATAACTAAATGGAGTTGAGAGTAAAAACAAAACGCTTTGTATTGTATTTCACATTACTAGTTACTATACACGTTGCTGTAATGCATTCCCATTTGTCTTTATGCAATATATTAATGAACATATTTGACACTATATCAGTGAGGTGAGTTCTATTCTTTTCATACTGTGAACCTTTCCACATTCTTCGATCAATGTTAAACATTTCTGCACATGACAACTTACAGTAATAACACTGCAGAGCACTTTCATGTAAAAAATTACTATTCTAATATCGAGATTTAAGTTATTTGTTATAATTTTTATTTCTCAGATAAGTACTTTTACTTGAACAACTTTTGGGGCTCCATGCTGTTTCGCATATGTAAAAAGATGCAAGAGAAGCAGGTGATTCTTAGAGTTTTTTTTCAGCTTTAACAGTCACCGACAATTAATAATCTACTGTAACAACAGAGTATTATTGAGTACTAACAAGAGTTATAGCTATATCAGGTATATCAGGTCCATCAGGTTAGAAGCAGAGGTGTGTGCTAGTCACAGTAATGTTTAAGGCATTAACATTACACACAATAAAAAGTTTGTCACATCACACCAGCATTTGAGTTTAGACAATGAATGGCAAAGTCACATTAAGGCTGTCTTCATGAAATAAACAGTCGACTGCTGAAGTGTTTTTCTATTGAAAAGAAGGAGTATAACTTAAACCCTTAAAGATAAACAATAAGCAACATTGATATTATAAAATGCAAGACGGAAGGAATTGATTATATTTAGTAAATTAACATATATTTCAACGATAGATTAAGATTAAAACCATAGACTGCATAATAATGGACGTAGTCCCTGAAACGCCTTAATATAATTTAAATAGATGATGATATACAAATATACCCCAAGAACAGTTATCATGAAGGGGGAAATTAGCTACTGTATAGAGACCAACACTTTTTTTGTTCCAGGCTGTTAACATTTTTTACTACTGCTGTAAAGTTAAGCATCTTAGCGTGGGGGTCATGTAAAGAATTGCAGTTTTTTGCATAAGCTTGGTTGCAGCTGTAAACATGAAGTGGCATTCTCCTATTTGTCACAGATACATCATTATAGCACCCTCTAAAGGAGGTCTGGTGTAAGACAGGAAGGCAGTTTAAAAGGGACAACTTGTACATTTCATCCTGTAGTGAATGTCAGCTGAAGACAAGACAGACAGTCAGCTGTAAACATAACACCATGCTTGCTCTCAAAATAAGCTACAAGTATATCACAAAGCATCAAATATTCATGAGCACATGCAGATACATTTGGCCATTAACACCTTTTTACTTTCATGAAACATTAACCCACAGGTAGAAAAAGAGAAGTAGAGACCAGGTGAGCCGGTTTCTGTTGTTGTTCAAATAAACTGTTCCCGATTACCACACAGATCCCACACATGTAAATATGATGCAGTCTTTTTTCCGGTCAAAACTGTTGATTGTTCTTGAAACAGCAATGATTTGGACATATGCGCTTTCAATGCAATACTGAGGACACTACATGGTACATACTGGCATGTGTTTGAAGTAGACGTTAAATATTTTAACAAAAAGCCTTTGGTTGGTGGTCGTGTTGGTCCACACAGGTATCCATACAGGGACAAAAAAGGGATACCAAAGTGTGGTTTAAATGTAGAACAATTTTTTTATTTGTTATCGACAATTTAGTTATCGTTTTAAAATCTCTATAAATAAAATCTCAATATAAATGATTAAATTATGTTTGTTTTCTTATTAGAACACCTGGTGGAGCATCACTAACTCTGAGCAGGAGGTAGAGTCAGAATAGTTATGGAAACACAAAAAAACTAATAAATGGAGTCCCTGCAGGAGTATTAAGTTAGTGTTGAGTACTTTTTAACATTAATTAGAACACAAATTGAAATACTCAATGCCATACCGATAAGGTTAATTATCCCTTCCTTTTTGTGTAAAACGTTACATACTGAAGTTTAACTATTGAATTAATTTTAGATAATATTTTAAATTAATTCTTTATAACAGGAAAACATTTCTGCGTGTTTAAGCATACACAAAATACAGGTTTATATGCAAGAGTGGGAACCACCAGAAACATCTTGAACGTGTGTGTGTGTGTGTGTGTGTGTGTGTGTGTGTGTGTGTGTGTGTGTGTGTGTGTGTGTGTGTGTGTGTCTACTGGATGACACAGCAGCAGGTTGCAGGGTATTTGTCGCAGTCCACCGTACGCTCGTTGCCGTAGACGTAGTACTTGTGAGAGTCACTTTTCCACTTGTACTTCACCTTAGTGATGGGGATCAGCTCCACTGTCTGCCTCTGAGACGGAGAGAGACAGGCAGAGACAGAGATGTTAAAGCAAAAGTCTGAATATGATAGCCTTAATAAAACTTCAAATTCTCTAAACTGAGAATTAAAATGTAGAACTTGTAGAGATGACATCATAAAGTGGCCAAAACCTGACCAGCTCATTTTCAGACAGGTTTTTATATAAATGGATCAGGACAAAAAGAGAAACATTTTTTTCCTGAATCTCTTAACACAGAGGGGAAACATGTTTATGTATAAAATAAATGAAAAAGTGGATTTTGCATAATAGGTGAACAAAAAGTTTTTCATATCTCTAATTACACTCTAACTTATATCTTTCTTATTCTATTGTATCTTGTTTTGGGTTCTAAATGAAAGTTTTAAAATGCATTTAAATTATAATTTTATAATTTGTTCCTTTTACAATATGTCTTCATGCTTGTACATTATTTTTGTAAAGCACTTTGAATTGCCTTGTATAAATAAACTTGCATCGACCTTACAGATATGAATATATATTTAAAAAAGTATATATGTAATACACCAATGACAATGCATACACTCTAGCAGGTAACTATAGCTTTAATACATTGTTGTGTTTCCTTTTAGTCAAAGAGTGACATTATTTAAACAAATGGACATTTTAAAGGTTAAAACCTTAAAAAAAGAATGAACATTTAGTAGTTATAATCTGGTAATGATGTTGGTTAAAAGATGACAGTAGAAAATAATGACAATCCTTGATTTAAATGGCAATGCCCATCTCTGCTCTGGACACACATGATGACACTGATATCCATATTTTCACCTGACTCTAAAGAAGAGAGATTATATTTTTTTCTCTTCCATTATTATATATTTTCCTCTTTTTTCCTGAATGTGTCAGTCAGCAGTCTGATGACTTACCTGCTGCAGGATCCTGGCGTTCTGAGCGTACTTGCTTTGGTGTTCTCGGACCATTTTCTCAGAGGCCTCAGAGATGGCCGGGTTGGGGAAGCCGAGCAGCGGGTAGAGCTGAGAGGAGCCAGAGAGAGAGGTTTACACACTGACAATAAAACACACAGCTAACAATTGCAACATTCTTTCATTGACACATGAACATTCCTGTAGCACAATCTAAAGGAAACATTTCCTTTTAGCTCTGCTACACCTGTCTGAAGAGAGATAACTGCACGTTTGTTTATGATGTACATGTTTCACAACGCTGCTCCTAGGTCGTGACAAAAAAGGGAAACGACAAAAAAGATGCTGGTAAATTAAAGTATTTAAAGTATTTGATGTAATAAAGTAAAGAAATAACATCGAATATATAGTGCATACGTCAGTAACATCAGAAATGTAGATGTTAATGTGTGAGCATAATGTAGTATAAGATGTATTGTGCAAAAACACAGTAAACTGACAGAGGAAAGACATACAGTAACACCGTACCATGTCTTTATACTTATATACTGAACAACATAATGAAGGAAGTCAGATATGGAGTCAGAGTTTCCTGCAGGATATTATGAAATATGCTGTAATGTGTGTGAGTTGCGTACCAGGTACTGGTTGTTCTTAAACAGCTCCTTCCCGGTCACTGAACGAAGATCATCGGCCTCCAGACCAGAGTCCTGCCGCACCACGTGGTCCTCCACATTGTTAGTCCTGAACACAGATACACATATATAAACAAACATGTTTCCACACACATAAACAAACATGTTTCCACACACACACACATAAACAAACATGTTTACACACACACACACATAAACAAACATGTTTACACACACACATAAACAAACATGTTTACACACACACACACACATAAACAAACATGTTTACACACACACACACATAAACAAACATGTTTACACACACACACACACACACACACACACACACACACACACACACACACACACACACATCACACACACACACAACACACACTACACACACACACACACACACAGCACACACACACACACACACACACACACACACACACACACACACACACACACACACACACACACAACACACACACACACACCACACACACACACACACACACACACACACACACACAACACACACACATCACACCACAACACACACACACACACACACACACACACCACACCCACACACACACACACACACACACACACACACACACACACACACACACACACACACACACACACACACACACGATGTTATCAGTTATTTGAACCGGATACAGAGTACAGTATGTATTAATTTAAATTCACATGCCGCACACAACTGCCTACAAATTCTTTGAATTTCAAACTACAGTGAAGCTACCTTGGGTCAGAATGTATGGCATTAAACAATCTGTCTGTGCTGCTTTTCACACACACTGGGTCAGATTCATATTCATTAGCCATTGAAACATCTTTAAGGAAACAGGGAACCTCCTCAGGACCAATTAGACCCTCTTAACCCATGTGTCTTACTAGTAAAAAGTAAGGCTTTTTCATTTGTGTTCATCCATATGGCATACATTTAGAAGTTTAATCTCGGCTGCTGTAATATGTTTATAATAGACTGTTAAGCCAAATCTCAGACACTCCGACTCTTGACAATGTGTCTGAAACGGCAAAAATCACGCATTCTTTAACATCAGGGTTTAAACTTGAGCCATGGCTCCAAAAAGTACATTTAAATATTTTCCATCATAGTGAGGCATTTTCTCATGTTTACCTAATAGGGCAAATACATGCTCCTGTACTCGTTTTAAACTCGATGATTTCAAATTGTTTTGCGAATTGCTAACATATCCCAAACTATGAAAATCAATGCATCCTCCTTATTATATCATGACAGAAGTTAAATAAAAGATTTAGCTCAGACAGTATCTAAAGAGGCAGTTTATTGACGCTAAATAGTTTGTCTTCTTAACCTCCTCCTCCGCCTTCCTCAAAGACCTCCTGAACATCCAACCACTAACTAACCCTAACTACTATATCCGATAAAACATCAACACTTATAGACAATCTCCTAAATAACTGCTACACACTCTTTCAAACTATCAAAAACTTCCTAAAGGACTATGAAACATCATGAAGGACCTCTGGCACCAACAACAACCCTCTGGATCTTTATAAGACCCCACAGAACTACATCAAAGACCACCAGAACATCTTCAATCTCAGGGAACCTCCTCAAGGACCGCCAAAACCCTTCACATCTTCCTCAATGACCATTTGAACTTTCACCGTCACTCCTAGAAACCATGAAACATCATCAAGGACCCCTTGAAACTCTTTAAGGCAGCAGCAAAGCTCTTTAAGGACTGTTCTTCCAAGACTCTAGGAATCTGTTCAAGGACCCATATCAAAGTTGTATCAGTACTCACCACTCCACTTTGAGCTGGATGTAGGTCAGCAGTTGTCGTTTTCCTTTACAGGTTTCACACTCCTTCGTTCCTCTAGAATCACACTTATCACACCTACACACGGACATAAACACACAGTCAGATATGAGACAAGTTTCACAATCTTCTTTTCAATCTTATCAAAGTGTACTGACTGTATAGTGTCATTTAAAGGGGCCATACCGCTGTGTTTCGTGTCCTAGTTCACTAACTTTGCGAAGATTTTTCAAATCAATTCATTTTTAGATTGATTATCTTCAAGTCATTGATTTAACTTTTGTTTATTGGATAACAAATTACAATTGAAGGAGCTTTACATTTCTGTCCAAATAAAGTTATAGTGAAATGGCGATTTTCTGTCTTTACACTGTGTGTTTGAGATTTGCCTCTTCCAGGTATCATAGGAGATCATTATTATGGTTGCAATTTTCATTAAAACATTGATTAAAAATTGTATTTATATCAGCCAATATCACAAATTAAACATTTGACTCAGGGGTTTCACGGACTAAAACACGATTTGTCTGCAGGGTCAACAGATTCTCCAGCTGGCTGCTCTGCTGTTGTATTATTTATAAGGTAGCTGTTTATTTGCGTCTGTTATTTTGAAAACCCTGGATAGTTTTACCTATTTTAGTCTCTAAAAATCTAAGAGGGGAACATGGATTTTTAATTTAAGTGTCACAAGCAGCTGGACTTCCCGACCCCCCCTCAGGACCTTTCTTTGCCTGAAGCGTCACATTGAGTGCAGCTCTCCTCGCCTCTCTTCCCAGAGCCGTTACACACCCAGCAGACTTTCTGCACACACACACAAATATTAACATTAACAGTTAATCCACATTAGGTCAGTTCAATCACTTTGTAGCTTATTATAACTGATGGGATAATGATTGACTGGTTGGAAGACTTCTTACAGATCCATCTCCATGACACTCATCACACGGCATCGTCCCTGTGGAATGGCAGCTGTTGCAGTCCTAAGAAAAACACACACGCAAACATATACACACACACAGTTAAAAATAACTTTACTGTTGGAGTCCCACTGACACAGAGAAGCTGCAAAATTCTCCACATCAGAATCCAGCTCTCTGATTGGCTGTCAGGTATCAGCTAAAATACATAACAACTAAGTTGAGGTCAACAGTTGGCCTGCAAACCAAATTCCATACCAACATGCTAGTTAGTACGCTTAAGAATATTTTAAGTACTCAAAACCAATAGTATGTCCATTGCGTACTATGTACTGCTGATATATACTATAGGCCAGGGGTGTCCAAAGTTTTTTCACTGAGGGCCACAGACAGAAAAACATGCAAAGAGCTGGGCCACTAGCTAGCTAGAGCTGGGGTATATTGCCTCATAAGTTAAGTTATAAGTTAGCTAAATCAATCAAGTGTAGGTACATTATGTTTGATACTTGAATATGCTTTGAAAAAACAAACAGCCTACATCACAGCTCTCCATAGGGTTTCATTTATTTTGTTACAAGGAAGTGTTGGCTGCTTATTCCTTAAAACAGGAACGTCAAATTGATTATAATAAGGGGAAATAGGAAGAGTATATTTCAAGCTTGTAATGCAAATAAGTTATTGGGCTTTTTGTATCAACTAAGATTTGCTAGAAACAAATTTCAACTTTGACTGAATGTATTAACTGGGCTTATTAACAAGTGAATACTACTGTGTAATATATGTTTGGATATATATTTGAGAAGTACAATATAAGAAAAGCATACTTTTTGAATTTGCTGAGGGCCAATTAAAAATAGACAACAGGCCGCAGTTGGGCCCCGGACCGCTGCTATGGGCAAACACTGGACTTTACACTGTCATTCATTTTAGATTTATTTTATTTTATTTTTCGGTTTTGCATGCTTTTTATTTGATCTTCTCTATGCTTCATCTGTCTGTCTGTGATTCCACTGTTCTCCTTTTCGTCTGCGGTTTGCATTTTGACATCATGTTGTCACATTAGTTTTAGCAACATCCCTTCAGTGCTCAGCTGAGAATCCCGCCTAATGAGGGCTTTTTTTTTTTGAGGCGAAAAAACGAGCCAACAGCGCTGATCGTCACTTCCTGAGAAGGCACAGGTGCCGCATGGAATTGAGACAACTATATACGGTGGATTTTTCACACACAAATGTTCACAATACCCGACATGGCAGTGTGTACTCAATGAAGTATTGCACAGGTCAGCAGTTTGTAGGTAAACGTAGCAATATGGCTATCTTTGAAGGACAGCTTGTGTTAACCAATCACCTTGACGGAGGAGGTGTAGGGCACGCGGATCTCCTCCATGTGATTGGTGAAGAGATTCGGGGCGGTGACCGGGACCTCCCAGGGTCGGGGGGCGGTCTGAGTGTAGAAGTCAGCCGGCTCACCTGTGGGTCACACAAGAGAGACGTTATACTAACCTGTCAATCAAAAAACAGCTGCTGGCAGAGTGATGGTACTTAAAGTTAGCATTGAGATTCAGTCAGTATTCTGATTTACGACACAAAGTCCAGGAAAAGATAATGCTGTGTGTGCTGTGTATTGTTGCCAATTATTTTCCAACGACAGTAGCTGGCACTTGCAGCATAAATATCTATATGTCTTGCTTTTTCCCTAAGAGTCTAAATAAATGTTTCACCATTGGTAAAACAGGAAGTGATCCCTTTGTCTTTGTGATAAAGGCAGCCACATTAATGCCGATAGAGGGGATGGGAATGTTAGCTTATTGCCACTTGAACTCACTTCTTCAAAGAGTTGTTTGAAGGTTCAGACCTGGTTTTAAGGTTTATAACCCAATTAAATTGGTGGTTCAACATCCTGAACAACAGCTCATCTTAAGTGGTGACCTCATGATGCACTACGAAGTGTGTGTTAGTGTGTGTGACCAACCAATAAAGTCACCACAAATTGTCCATTAACCAAACCCTTTCTTCCTGCTTTCTAAGATGAAAGAAAATCCCAGAAAATCAAACTGCCTTTCTCTTTAAAACAGATGAAACCCACTGATTTACACACAATAAAACGTACATGAATTAAACAAAATAGGAAAGCAACTAGTGGACCTTTTGTGCTCAGAGTTATGTTCAGGTTGCACAAACGTGAGTGTGTGTTTACCTTCATGAGGTTTGGTGGCCCACTCAGTTGACCTGGACTCAGTATACGTCTCCAGTCGATACTACAGAGCAGAAAACACACTTTAACAAACGCTGAATGTGCAACCTCAATAACATTTTACTTAGCAGAGATGTCATTGTTGCAACAAAAAAAAAAAAAATACCACTCATCAAAATACTAACAATCATAGCAATGGTTTCAATGTTATCAATCGATTTAACAAAACTGAAATGTATTACAGATTACTTGGTTATGATCTTACTTTTTTTCCATTCAGGGTGACTTACACTTATAACAGTATCTGCATATAAACATCCATATATTTGATTAAATAAAAAATAAAAACACTCTTCTGAACTTGCATAAGATTTATTACATTTTACGTTTTATTTATTATCAAAGTAATCAATATTTTTCAAACCATTCAAGGGTTAATACCAACCGGGAACTGCTAATAACGAATGCAGGGTGAATAAGGAGGGGTGGGTGGGGGTATTATAGTGGGGGCCACTGTGAGACTTTTTAAACCTTTAGTCGAACACAATGTCTCCATCGTAAAAGAAGCAGATTAGCAGCATATTAATCCTCTTTGGTTAGAGGATTAACAGCGTTAAGGTTCACAGTCATGTGAGAGTCTCCAGAGTGACATCATTAAATTGCTGACAGACTGCTGTGAAGAGATGTCAGACTCCGGACAGAACCAAAGCGCAGGCTATTTTCTGGGAATTGGAAAAAAGAACACTCCCGCTTTTGAAGATCCTCCTGCATCTTCACCCTCTCTGTCCTAAAACCCCCTCAAATCAGGCATATATATGCTTTCCTTATACAGTAAGCATGTGCATTTGTATTACAGCCAATTGGTATTTGAAATGGTCTCTGTTTGGGAAAAGTCTGCAATTATGGGCTAGATTTCTAAAGCTTGACAACCAGAGGAGGTGTCAAACTCCTTTTTTCTCTCAGACCACTACAATTGCAATTTGCTGAAATATTTTTATGAGGAGTTTGCCCAATGTTGCAAATAAAACCCCGCCTTCCTTAGCTTAAAGGGGACCCATCATGCAAAATGCACTTTTGTACGTCTTTTATACATGAATATGTGTCCCCGGTGTTCCAGGGAACTCACCAAGTGTCAGAAAACACAACCCTCTTTATTTTCCTCCATACCCAAATCTCTAAAAAAGGGGCTGCAACGGATCTGATAAAAACTGATCCAGATTTGAACACTTCTATGTCGTCACAGAAGTGGCGCTACTGCTATTGGGCCAATTCTCTACCTATCAGGGGAATGTGGGGTTTGGCCACGGCCGGCCATTGCCGCTCGAAAGCGCTGGAGACGCTGTAGTACATATGCCAGGCCTGTAAGTGGCGCTGTAGTCTGCCACAAAAGCAGCGAAGAAGACTTCCCGCCCATAGTTACCATGGTTACCCTTCTGTTTATTCTCCGCTGTGGCTTTTTTTTTCCCTCCCCGAGGCAAGCGTTTGCTCCCGCTGCTTTAATTCAATGCAATCCCTCCCCGTTGAGGCAAGCACTGTAATTCTCTCCGGTTAGTCCACCAGCAGATGACAAACACCCACCTCGCCGCCTCTTCCAAGGAACGAGGGGACCGTGCGGCAGAGTTTTAGTTTCAGTTTCTTTCGCCGGACAAAATTAGAAAAGTGCCGGTCAAAGGTCTTCTTTGTTATTTATTGAGCTTTAAAACAAATGAATAATGACTCTATATAATAAAACACGGAGGACGGAGATCTCTTTTTCTCCCCCTCTTCTGACAGCCCAGCAGCTGATCAGAGCACGTCTCCCCTCTCCTGCAGGGGGGCGTGGTCAGCAGAATCAGACCCGTAGACAGCAAACAGCACATAGAGCGAAATGAGGCATGGCTAAAATGCATGATCTGTTTGGTATTTTGAAAACAGAAACGTATAAATATACCTGAATGGCCCTACAATATATAATTTAAATATAGCATGATAGGTCCACTTTAAAGCAAGAAACACACCACCAATAGCAGCAGTCAACAGCAACATAAACAGTTTGAACATCACTTCACCCTGTACGTGTCGTACGGCTCCATTTTGGTGATGACTCCATCACTGGCAGGACCTTTATTGTAGCAGCAGTGAGACGACACATAGTCCTTGAACGCATCACGGGCATCATCCTCAGACAGAGATGGGATGCTACACACACACACAGAATCACATCATTATTATTGTGTCTTTATTAAACAAGGACCATGGATACAAATATATATTAGTCTCAAAAAGAGAAGAGATTATTTATGGAGGATGTAGCTAGTTTCAATTAGCTGGATTGATAATTTTTGCATTATTATTCTCATTTAATCTCTTATTGAAAAATATATTACTATTAACATTGTGTGAGTTTTTTTAGGAAGTAAGTTAATGTGGTTTGTTAAATCTGTAGAATACGATTTATATGCCAAAATATTTCTCCACAATACATAATTCAAAAGAATCTATTTTACCACATATTTATCCATTAACAAATATTGTGCTTCCTGCAACTTCAATATTGAGTTCAAGTGAAAAAATGTGACTAATTGTGCAGCCTTAGAAGGTTTCTAATTCCTCTAATTTCCCCTCCTCGACTCCTCGGTCCTCCGGTAGTGACCCGGAAATGGATTTCAGCACGCCATGTTGAAGGACATCTCATTTCTCTAAATGCACATCGAGGACCGAGGATCGAGCATCGCCGTTGAGGAGGCTCTCTGGAGGAGCTATAATCGAGGATACACTGATGGGTCCTTCGTGGATGCATTTCCGGCAACAGAGATGTTTCAAAGAGTCGTGACGCACGGCCGGACTTATCTCAGCCAATGACAGCTCTGCATGCATCCCCTGGATATTATTTTATTAACTGCTTTCATCGCGACGCGATGTTTACAGTGAGAACAGCTGTGAGGTCCGTGCAGAAAGCAGAGCAGTGTGTATAATATATATCACTCAGTATAACAGGCCTACTCTCTTTATTTGCTTTAGTTTAGTAGATATCTACAAACAAAGAGTCGATATTTGTCTAAAACCATTTAGTGCTTCACATAATAAAATACACAATGGCTGTAGCCTGATATTATATGCTTTAGCAGCAGTAGGTGCGTGTTGTACAGTGTGTGTGTGTGTGTGTGTGTGTGTGTGTGTGTGTGTGTGTGTGTGTGTGTGTGTGTGTGTGTGTGTGTGTGTGTGTGTGTGTGTGTGTGTGGCAGACAGACAGGTCTCAGTTGGTTTGGTGTCCTATGCTTACTTTTAATACTTGTAAATAAAACTTTTGGCCCGTAATTAAATTTCCTCATTGTAGCGACCAGAGAGGGGAGGGGGGGGGGGGGATATATCTATTCTCTGATAGTTACGTTATTATGAGAGTGCTCTCATACTTATTTGATTCTGAAATGTTATATATTTATATAAATATATATGTGTGTGTGTGTATAAATGTCCACATCTGTAGCCTGTTATTGTCTCATTATACCGCACTGTGAATTAATTAAAAGTAAATATATAAGTCATCATGAACACAGTTCTGTCCATCAGACAGAGGGCTGTGCCTCCTGTCATCATTAATGGACGTCTCTTTAAAATGACTGCTCAGAGGAGAGGATTTCTCATTTCTCTAACCGCCTGCTGCTTCCCCTCCTCTCTCCTCGGTTCCCCTCCTCGGCTCCTCCGCTCGCATCTCCTGTGGGCGGGACTAAGACACGAGGATAGGAGTCGAGGATAGGAGTCGAGGAGGGGAATTAGAGAAATGAGAAACCTTCTTAGTCTCTATCACCCTGACAATTAAAAAGACATATCAAAGCATTGATCAATATAGACACACACATTTATCGTTGCTATAATAAATACAACTATAATATTACATTTTCATTTCAACCAAAAGGACGGTTAAGTAATCAAGATACATTTGTTTGCACCATGGTAAAAAGAGTGATGACATTTCAATTGAAATAAAAAAGCTTATTGTCCAAAGCAGCACTGTGAATTCTGTAAATCATGGTTTTAACTATTTTATCTACCAAATGCTCAGTGATACGAGCATTATATGATTGGCTGGTGGTGTCGGTCTTACCTCCAGTCCTCAGGCTCGGGGCTGGGCTGGGGCGGGGCCACAGGCTGCAGGGGCATAGGAGGGGGCAGGTAACCTCCTGCACAAACAACAACACACTGTAAGTAGTTGCAACACAATGAAATTAATGAGAAAAGGTGTGGATTGGACTCCCCTTACCTCCTCCTGCTGCCATGCCTTCATAGCCGGGCACGGTGCCAAACATGTTGGCCGGGGGTGCAGAGGGGGGGGGATACGCTGGAATAAACAACAGGAAATCAAAAAGTGGAAACACCCGAGTGGATGCAGCATGAGTGAGCAGGGGAAGGAATAGTTTTGGACAGTTTGGAAAATTACACACATTTGTTTGTGCACGAGTTAGAGGAGAAGATTGCTCTCTTCTGTGTCTGTATAACAGTATACAGACAGGGGGAAACAACTAGCCTGGCCAGAAAGGGAGAAAAGGGTGTGAGAAAGATAAGGAGGTTGAAATGAAGGAGAGAAAGAGGTATGAAAGGAAAGAACGACATAGAGAAGGAAAGGAGATGAGGAGGTAAGGAGATGGTAATGAAGGTGAAAGAAACAGGAAGAAGGAAAGAAAGAGGTGTGACAAGACTATGGTTGTAGTCGAATTGTCAAAAGATCAGCTCCTAGCGTCTTTTCCTATCCACTATTCCTTGACCTCTGTGTGAAACGTCACAGGGTTAAGGAATAGTGGATAGGAGAATTCAAAAGGACTTAGGAAAAGAGACTGCAGTGCTTTGAGAATGCGACTGCAATTACAATACATACATTCATTAATGAAATAGATGGCTGGAGGACTTCCTAAACATCTTAAGTATGGAAGAAGCTGCTTTCTCCCTGTTATATTTGGTTAAGCCAGACAACAGGCTTTGGGATAAGATAAGGGCTTTCCTGGACTCAAACCATCTCGGCTGCCAATAATAAATATAATAATTATAATAATATTAATAAATAAAGAGAAATAAAGAGAAATAAGCTGAATGGATGAATAGGTGCATATATATATTTATTTATTTGACTATTTATCTATTTATTTATTTATCTATTATAAAAAAAATTGTTTTATAATAATAATAATAATAATAATAATAATAAGGAAACAATGAGGTATATCTATATTATGAAGCAAATCATGTATAAATACAACGCAATACAGTATGCATACATAAAATGTAACTGACACTGTAATCCCCCTACCCCCCACCCTTCATGTTATTGTCCTTTGTGATGTGTGTGAGCCATGTCCTTGTCTGTATGTTTTTGTCTTTGAAAATGTCTAATCAAATATAAATGTTAAAAAAAAAAAACAATATCCATTAATGATGCGCCAGCAGCTGTTATTAATGTGTGTCTGCTGTGGGGAAACTACAGTTTACTGTACAGCAGAGTATTGTAAGAGCACTTTGCACAGTGCTCTGATGGTCAATCAATCAATCAATGTTTATTTATATAGCCCAATATCACAAATGTTACATTTGTCTCAGTGGACTTCACAGTTTGTGCAGAATATCAGTATGACAATAAGACACCCTCTGTCCTTGGACCCTCACATCGGACAAGGAAAAACTTCCAAAGAAAAACCCCACAGTTTAAAGGGGAAAATGGGAGAAACCTCAGGGAGAGCAACAGAGGAGGGATCCCTCTCCCAGGACGGACAGACGTGCAATAGCTGCCGTGTGTAAATTGAAAAGATAATACATTTACAACATAGGTAGACCAAATGCTTGGAAATGCATGTGAGTGATGGTGTTTTTTTATGCGGGCTTTATGAACGTGGAAAACAGTGAAACATATATTATTCATCACCAAGGTTGGAATTGAAATAAAAAAGTGAAGTGAAACTTATGCTTGTAAAAAAAAGTTGGGGGGAAAGAGGGGGTAGAGAAGTAGATTAAAAAAGTATGAAGGAGGTCATATAGGAGGAAACAAGGGGTTAGGAAACAGCATGTGTATTAGGGCTGAACAATTAATCGATTTTAAAGCCTGCGATTTTCTTTTAACTTTTTTTTATTTTAATAAAAACTCAATTGTAGTGGCTGAAGTGGCAGAATTGACTGGAACCACATCCATCCATTTTGAGTGTGCATCGATGAGCACAAAAAACATCTTCCCCATGAATGGCCCAGCATAATCCACATGAATACGACTCCAGGGCTTATCAGGCCAATCCCAGGGGTGTAACGGAGCTGGTGCCGGAACATTTCGGTGCTCTTGACATGTTATACAGGACTTGACAGTATCCTCTACATCCTTGTCGAGCTTTGGCCACCATACATAGCTCCTAGCCAGTGCTTTCATCCTGGACACTCCCGGATGGCATTGATGAAGCTGTCTCAAAACACTTTCTTGGCCTGGCTTTGGCACAATAACTCTTGCGCCCCACAACACACACCCATGTTGGATACTGAGTTCATGTTTCCTCACTGCATAAGGGCCAAACTCAATCTTTTTTAATTCTGATGACCAGCCTCTGTTTACCAATTCCCGCACCCGTGAGAGTACTGGATCCTTGTCTGTCCATACTTTCACTTTGTCAGCAGTCACCAGTGTGATGTCAGAACTCTCCAGCATGAGAACCCTCTCTTCTGGCCTCCCCAGGTCAGGTTTCTCTGGTAGGGGCAGGCGGCTCAGTGCGTCTGCATTGCTGTGGTGCTTCCCTTCTTTGTACACTATGGTGTATTCATAGGCTCTCAAGGTCACGGCCCAACGTTGGATCCTCGGTGATGCCATTTGGGGTACTGCTCGCATCTCACTGAAAAGTGACAACAGGGGCTTGTGATCCGTCACTATAGTAAACTTCCGTCCATAGATGAACTTGTGGAAGCGTTTTATTCCAAAAATCACTGCCAGTCCTTCCTTGTCAAGTTGTGAGTAGTTTTTTTCTGCAGCATTTAATGTCCGTGATGTAAATCCAATGGGTCTTTCAGTTCCATCTGGCATGCGATGTGAGAGCACAACACCTAATCCATATGGTGATGCTTCACATGATAGCACAATGTCCTTCTCTGGGTCATAATGCACCAACACTTCAGCTGACTGCATCATGTCTTTTGACTTTTCAAACGCTGTCTGTTGTGCCTCTTCCCACTGCCACTTTGTGTCTTTTTTTAGCAGTTTGTGCACTGGAGCAAGGATGGTTGACAGACTGGGCAGGAACTTGTTATAATAGTTTAACAGTCCTAGATATGCTTTGAGCTCTGTCACATTTGAAGGTGTGGGTGCATCCTTGATTGCTTCCACCTTCTCATGCACGGGGTGCAGTCCTGTGGCATCCACCTTATGACCTAGAAACATCACTTCCTCACTCATGAACGAACACTTGGTTCTTTTGAGCCTGAGACCGGGCTCCTGTAGCCGTTTCAACACAAGGACAAGAGTCTGCAGATGCTCTTCGTCGTCTTTCCCTGTCAGCAGGATGTCATCCAAGAATATTGCCACTCTAGGGATGCCCTGTAGCAGTCCCTCCATGGTCCGTTGAAAAATAGCTGGGCTAGATGATACTCCGAAAGGTAACACTTTGTACGTGAACAAGCCCTTATGTGTATTTATGGTCACATATGTTTTTGCTTCTTCATCCAAAGGGATTTGGTGATATGCATGACTGAGATCTAGCTTTGTGAACTTCTGTCCACCTGACAGGTTGGCAAACAAATCCTCAATTCTGGGAATTGGATACTGCTCCAGTTTTGATACTCGATTTACAGTCAGTTTATAATCACCGCACAACCTTACTGAGTCATCTGGTTTTAACACCGGTACCACAGGCGCTGCCCACTCTGCATATTTTACCGGTTCAATTATCTCCTGGGCTAGGAGACGGTCCAGTTCGGCCTCAACCCTTCCTCTCATTGCATACGGGACCGGTCTAGCTTTAAAAAACCTGGGGGTTGCTTCCTTGTCCACATATAGTTTAGCTGGGGGCCTTTTAAATTTCCCTAGTTCCTCTTTGAAAACCTCCTCATATTCCCCAAGTACCTCCTCCAAGGTCTCTTCCCTGACATGGTGAATCTGGCTTTCAGGTCTCCACTGCAAACCTAGCTTCTTAATCCAGTTCCTGCCAACTAGACTAGGGCCCGTCCCTGGCACAACTACCACCGGTAGGTTTTTTACTGACTTTTTGTTCTGCACTTTTACCATAGCTGCTGCCAAAACATTTACCCTATGTCCTGTGTATGTTCTGAGTCTCACTCTGCATGGTTGTAGGGCTGGTACCTCTCCCCCCATAAGGTTTTGTACACTGAGTGGTTCACCACTGTTACCCCACATCCTGAGTCTACTTCAAACTGTGTTTCAGTTTCATTAATAGTCAGTGTTTCTAGAAATAGCTCCTCTGCCGGTATGTCTATTTCCTTCACTTTGTACAAAGTGAACATGACCTCATCTGTGTCTATGTCATCTTTTTCACCCTCCCCCTGGCTGACATAGTTTGCTCCCTGAGTTTTCACATGCTTATATCTCTGATATACTCCACCCCCTTTTGCTTGTGAAGCACTAACTGAGCCTTTTGACCTACACACTTTCTGAATATGGCCTATCTTCCCACACTTGTGACAGGTTTCTTTAATAAACCTACAGTCCCCAGCTATGTGCTGCTCACTGCCACACCTGTAGCAAGCCTTATGCTGGTGCTGGTGCTGCTGCTCACTGGGGCTCTGCCTTGCCGTCATCTTGTGCACTGCCTCAGGTGCTCTCATGTGCGAGGGTGCTGACTCCAATGACTGTAAGTCTCTCACATCCTTGCTGGCTGTCTCAATAGCCGGGGCCAGCTTCAGTGCCCTGTCGAAGGTCAAACTGGCTCTGACAACAATCGCCATTGTATGCGATCCTCCCCAATCCCACAGACCAGCCTGTCACGCAGCATTTCTGTTAACTTGTCTCCATAGTTACAATCTTGTGCTAATTTCCTTAGCACAGCAACGTACTCCATGACTGTTTCTCCCAGCTTCCTACTTCTTGAGTTAAATTTGTAGCGCTGTACAATTTCACTGGGTTTGGGGTTGAAATGGTCTTTCAGCAGCTGAACAAGCTCATCAAACGTCTTATCTCCTGGCCTCGCCGGGCTGATAAGGTTCCTCATAAGGCTGTAAGTCTGACTGCCAACTGAACTGAGCAAAATAGCTTTCTGCCGACCTGCATCTTCGATCTCATTAGCTTCAAAGAAATATTGGAGAACCTCACAATATTCCTCCCACGTCTGGGATTGACTATCAAAAGGAGCGGTGTTTCCTACCGTTGCCGCCGCCATCTTCTAGCTCACACCACTGTCCGGTGTTTTGTGCCGTTAACGTAGCCACTCAACAGTCTCGCTCATTTGCGTGCATTTCCACCAGGCATCTGCTGTACTTTTATCCTCGTCGCCATTATGTAGTAACTCACAGGAGGCTTCTGGTGAGCATAGAGGAGTTTATTGATTTCTGGTAGCGCCGAACTGCAACTCTGGTTCATCACATACTTAGCATAACAACATAGCCCCCAGTTCCTCTTCTATGCTTATTGAACGGCAACAACTTCAATGTCACTCAAGTGCACTCGGTGCCGTTGAGTGTGTTAACCTTTTGATGGACCGCGTTAGTGCCCTGCGAGTTGATGGTGTGGCCGGTATGATCAACGAAGTGAAAGAGAGTGCTACCCGGAACGGCCTAAAGATGCCTGACGAAAATGAATACAGGGTAAGCAAAACACCTGCCCGGTATCGTCAAACCAGAGAGGCTGAATCTCTGCAACAGGCAACGTATGATGTCAGATGGAGGACTGAATTTTACGAGGCTGTGGATCTGATTCACTCTGAACTCAGCAGGAGATTTGACCAGGATGGGATGAGAGTAGCGGCATTCAGGGAGAAGATCCCAATTGACGCAGCAAACAGAAAGCCGGTTGCGGTACTGGACGCAGAGACTTTGAAATGACCCATGGGGTTTGACCTAGGCCGACTGCAACTGCAGCTCCAGATGTTGGGAGGTGTCTTTAAAGAGACTGTTCACAAGACAGTACAAGAGGTTGCATCAGGTCTGTCAGAACTTCATCCTCAGACAAGATCTCTTTTTGGAGAAGCAGAGAAGCTAATGAAACTCTGCATGTGCCTTCCTATATCAGTTGCATCTTCGGAGAGAAGTTTCTCCACACTCAGACGCCTTAAAACCTGGCTGAGGAGCAGCATGTCCCAGAAAAGACTTACACACCTTACACTCATGCATGTGCACGGAGACATCGTTGAACAAATGGATATACAGGACATGATGAAAAGTTTCCTCAGTATGAATCCCGAGCGCAAGAACACCTTTTTGTCATGCACGAACGCCATGTACAGTGCCGAGGCCTACTATTGCTATTTTTAGTTTTAAGATAGATCTGATGCCGTTTTTCCTGTGTCAGTGGTTGTTTTGCAATATGTCAGTTTGCAATATGTCAGTTTGCAATATGTCAGTTTGCAATATGTCAGTTTTGCAATATGTCAGTTTGCAACATGTCAGTTTGCAATATGTCAGTTTGCAATATGTCAGTTTGCAATATGTCAGTGGTCGATGCGTTTATTATTTTTGTGGCATTGTGTTTGCCCGTGCTTGGGAGGGAGTTACAGTTCGTGTATCCAATCATCCTGTGTCTGTAGTCGCTATTTTATCATTAAAGTTTGGCTTCGGAGGAAGTACCCATTCGCTGTTGTTAAAAGAAAAAAGAACATACAACCACATTTGCAGCATATACAATTTAGGTATTTTTTCTTACGTGTTAAGAGTAGGATTCCCTCCACCCCCCCCCCCTTTATATTGTGTCATCCCCACAGCACCCCCCATTTGAAACATGTTCCCACGGCTATTACAGGGTGAATCTTAAACTGAAGCTTAACTTTAAAGCAACCCAACGGAAGTTTCATGTAAGTTGAGTTCTTTCACTCGTAGCTCGGGCTGCGGGGGTGCTAGAGACGGGAGCACGTTGATACGACCTTCCTAGCCGGAGATATTCCATTGGGTCGCTTAAAAACAAATATCGCAAATCGCAATATCTGTCAGAAAAATCGCAATTAGATTATTTCCCCAAATCGTGCAGCCCTAATGTGTATGTAAGGAAAACGGGAGGTATAGGACAAGCTCAGAAGGGAAATAAAGAGATGTTAAAGAGTAGAGAATCAAGTGAAGAGGTAGGAGAGGAAGAGTTAGATAAGGACAGGTGTTTGAAAAGGGAAAGAGGAAGGAGAAATGATGAGGAGGAAGGAGAGAATGGGAGAATAGGGACAAGCTATAAGATAGGTGGCATGAGGAAGAAGTAGAGAAGGAAATATGTTAGGCTTGTTGTAGAAGGAGTGGAGTCAGAAGGTAGACATTAGATAAGGGAGGAGGAGGAGGCAGAAAATGAGAGGAAGACTTTAAAAAGAGGAAGTAAAGAACCAGTTAAGAAAAAGGATGAGGTAAAGGTAGACAATGAGACAAGGAAGTCAGAAACTAGCTATAGAAGAGGAAGTAAAAAATAACAAAGGGGGAGAGAAGCTGAGGAGGAAGTAAAAAATGGAAGGAGGAGATTTTGAAGGTGTGGTGCAGGTAGAGAAGGGAAGGAGGGGGAGGACAGGTAAGTGGGCAGGGAAAGAGGAGGTATAGGAAGGGGATAAGGTATGTGGGAGAGGTAGGGCACGAATGGAGGACATAAAGAAAAAGAGAAGAAGGATATGGTGAAAGTGAGGAAGGGATGGGAAACGAGTTCAGGAAGTTGAAAAGGAGGAAGTAGAGGAGGGAAAGATGTACATCCACTTTGCTGCATATCTGTCCACATTGTTTTATAAATAATGACACGCAATCTAACTTTAAAAAAAAAATGTTTTAGTCAATTTATCGAACATGCCAGAAACAAAAACTTCAATGTGTTATGCCTAAATGTGTCCATAATATAGTGTTTTTATCTGAATACAGTTGTAATATAGTGCACAGTCATCATCCAGAGGAGGATAGGCTCTAATCTGGAGCCACCAAATGGACTCTGATAAAACTCCACACCCATCGTGGAAACCCTTTTAAACAAATCCCTTTTGGAAAATAATAATTCCATATATGTTATTGGAAGCAAGTCTTAAAGGCTGGTTAGATTCTGCAAAAATGTATTAATATAAATGTAACGGCATATCCACCTTTTTCCAAGTGTAGACACATCGCAGCAGCACAGGTCTATAGAAAACTCTACACTCAAGACACCGGGTTTAAATCCACCAAATACATTTAAAATCGATAAAACACAGTAGAAGTTGCGGTAAAAAAAAGAAGGTGTGTGTTTCTAAAAATGTTTGCAGGACGCTGGAAAGCCTGCCTGCAGCAGCTGGTCAGAGGTGTAATGCTCAGTTTGGAGACCCGGGTAATGTGGTGCCTGTGTCTGTTCTTACCTGCGCTGCTCATGCTGCTGCTGCTGCTGTTGACCAGTATTATTATTATTATTATACTGTGTCAATAACTGCAGACACTCCGCTGTTTCTTCTCTCCCCTGCTTCAAGATGCTGCTCACATAAAATGACCAAACCGCAACACAACTTCCGGTATCACCCTTTGAAAATAAAAGTCACACATAATTCACTTCTCAGATTCTTCCTTTTTTTGTTTTTCATTTCCATTTACTAAATTACAAATATGTTTAACTATTCACAATTACCTATTGTACTCAGCCTGATATATATTTAACAACTACAGATATGATATTTGTGTCAATAGTTTATTTCTATATTCCTCTAGCCTATAGTATACTGTATAGTACTCAATTTATTTAATATTTCGTTATATTGTGTATTATTTAGATACTCTGGGGATATAGGTATTTTCTATTGTGAATTTGTATAAACTTGCTGCTAGTGTCAATTTTAATTGCATTTGTATTCTTACTATATCTACTTACTGCCAATGTTAATTAATTATATGTGTATTGTATCTTTTACACATTTTTAACTCGTGTAATGGTTGACACTGCTGCTGGAACAAAATCATTTCCAAATTTGAGATAAATAAAGTATATATCTTTCTATCTATCTATCTATCTATCTATCTATCTATAAATAGGTCCATATTCTTCCATGTATGTATACATGGAAGAATATGGACCTAACCCTACTCACCTGTATTGTTGTATACAGGTGAGTAGGGTTGTGTTGTATACAACAATTCAGATGAGAATCACAAAAGAATGTATTCAGGGTGAGTTTATTACTTGCATTGAATATGCCTTGGTGTTATGTGCATTACAAAAAAAGTACTTTATATAAAATAGAAAAATATTATTAAATACAAATACGAAAGTATAAAATTATGAAATTACACAGGGGACATTTTTATTGTATTGTTTATAATTCATTGGAAAGAAATGCCCTCAAAAACTCCAGCAGATTTAAATAAAGGTTGAATAATGGAACAAAGTTTAAATTACTACAGGCTCTTAATTTGAAGGATTTCCGGTTTTAATGAGAATTTGTTGCAACCATAGACTGTATATATAAAGGTCGCAACTGATCCGCAGGAATGTCGAGTCGACCACTCCCACCTTGAATGGATTACAAAACTGAGGGGAGTGCACATGGGCTGGACCATCGATTGTAGTAGATAAAAAAACATGAACACATACAAACCTAACATTAGAAGATGTACTGAATTTGTTTAACAGCAAGAAATAAAAAAAAAAGTGGATGTGTTGTGATTTGTTGTGAATTCTTGTCCTGACGATCGGGTTGCCAGGTCTGGAAACTGATCTGACTGACAGTGAACAATGAGTGTTTAATCAAATGTCAGACTGTTCCTTCACCACAGTACTACACGCCCAGATTTGACAGACATGTCGAGGCAGCACGAGTGTCTCGGAGGTAAATATTTCTCAGGTCAACAGGAGGCAGATGCTTTTAGGATCCTAAAATCCTGTAATCCGACCCCTTTCTGGTTGATCTGGTTGAAAAGCAAAGAGAAGCAAAACGTGTTTAAAACTGCTCTGCAATTTCAATTGATCTAAAATACATTTGAATATATTTATAGTATTTATTCATATTTGTATTGTCTTCGGGAATACATTTATGTTTCTTGCTTTTTGCACCTGCTTTTATTTGTGTGTTTTTTTAATGCACCGATACACAAACGCACATTCCATGTATTGCAATAAACCAGATTCTGATGTAGGGTTGGAAATGCTTTACTTCGCTGTAAAACAACAAACAGCAAGTTAGGGGAATCAATTCAAGATCCTCCCTCTTTTGAATTGAAAATGTGCATTGAATGACTGTACTGCTCACTGTTTATCTACCTTACAAATTCAAATTTCAAAGAAACAGAAACAGATTATATGCAGACCTCCCAGCATGCATTGTTTGACGCTTGAAAGAAACCTTCTTATATTGTTTATAGAAAGTTTAAAAACATTTTTATTTCCTCTTTTTGTGTTTATGGTAGGAACTCGTACGCCTATGCAAATTCCCTGTGACCTACTTGGCAATTAACTTAATAGATGGTGGAAAATTACCTCACTCTAGAACAGCATTTAAACACAACTGGATTAACCAGTTAAAAAGACCTGCGGACAAAACAAACGGAGCTCAAGAATATGTAAACTCTTGTTCCTTGTGCCTTCCTCCAAGATATGTAGTCCAATATTTCCCTAGGTAATGTATGTGATGATGTGGTTTATGACTTTATATACAGCAGGCAGCATGTAAAGCAGGACACATGGGTTCAGACAACATGTTTTAAAGCTGTCGTGCAGAGACAGACCTGCAGCACATTCTTGCTGTGGCATTTCCCACACAAGTAGTAGCCTATGCAAAATGTGTTTCTGCTTAAATTGTATTTAACGCCCCCTCCACTCTCAATTCAGCAGAACAGCACTGTAAAAAGAGGCGTGGACTCTATTTAGAAATCGGAGATACAACTGATACTGGGTGAGCATCATCACTTCCGCCTGTGTTAGAGGACCAGTAATATTACATTTTTTCATGTATTTGCATTTTAAGTAATTATAGTGTACCATATACATGATAGCAAACTTAACAATCAATCAATCAATGATGTAAAGAAAGACTGAATCAATCAATTTGTCACATTTGATCATACAGTATAAGGTATACTGCTTTGAGTGACAAATTACTTATTTTAAGATCAAATATTAAGTATATTTAAAATGTTTAATACCATGTACACTATGACACACACTGTCAAACATCAGTGAGTTTAATTGTATCGTCATTTTATCTTATTTTCAGACCTGCTTCAGAATGTATTAGTCTTTTGACTTGAAAAAGGCGGGTTGAATGAATGTACTGCTAAATGTTTATATTGTGCAACAAAACACCAATGCAAATTCCTTGTACTGTATGTGTGACCTACTTGAGATTTTTTGTTTTGTTTAGGGTTGAAAGTGTCCTAACTCCATGGACAGGAGTTAGGACACTTTCTATTTGCTGAGCGCAAAAATAAATAAGCTGTGAGTCTTTCTAAATGCTTTTGTTCCTCCACCTATCTAGTTCCTTATATACTTTGGTAACATGATATATAAAATTGATTTGACCAAATGCAGCATAATGAAGGGTTGAAAAGGAGATGTTGTGTGTGCAGCCTGAGGAGTCAACTTCTCCTTCAGGGCTGGGCCCACACCTGAGCTTCGCCTACTTGTTACAGTTCCCAAACAATCAGCAAACAAAAGGTTTCTGAAGAAACTATGACACAGTAAGAGTGTAATCAGACTTCCCAGCATGCAGTGTTTGGAGGTTGAAACTATTGAAAGAAGTGTCTAGCAGCGAAGGTCCAGCTCCATAGTTTCTTTATTTTCTTTTTAAATACCTAAACTCTGTTTTGCATGGAAGACCTGGAGAATTCACACTCTACCTTATTTCTTTTACATTTTAATTAATAAAATACTGCAACTACTTTGCACACTTCCAGTATCCTATGTATATACTTTAGTTGTAGTAATCTATTACAGTGTATTCTTGCTTATGTATTTCTATGGTGTATTCTACATTCCATCGATGTATTAGCGTTATAATGAATAAAGTAATTATTATTTATTTTCTTATTTGAAACTCCTGTGCAACTTGCTGACCTGCTGCTACTGTAACAAAACAATGTTATGTCAATAAAGAAGTTAAAACAAGAAATTGTCTTAACTGTTATTCTTTTTGAAATCCATCCATCCAGCAGGGGGAGCCAGAGTCTCACACACACACACACACACAAACACACAAACACACACACACACACACACACACACACACGCACACGCACACGCACACACACACACACACACACACACACACACACACACACACACACACACACACACACACACACACACACACATTTGGCAGAAAGTCCTCAGTTTACATTCCTGCTCTTTTGGCAGCGTCAGAGTGTGTAAGTGCATGAAAAAGAGTCAGAGGCACAGTACTGAGGGTTTTACACGGAACCGGAGACCGACAGAGAGGAAACTGCACGTTAAATAAACACAGGGGGGTGTTTGATTTCTGTGTTCTCTGCTCTGTCTCTGTAAATCAAACGCACCTCAAAGGGGCTGAAATGTTTGAAATGTTCTTTAGAATAATGTTCAGGTCAGTGGCGGTGTGTGCAAACACAGATTGGCTACAAATTGTTTTTGTCACTCAGTTTGAAGCTTCTTTTTTTTATTTGTTTTCAGCTCAACAATTAGCTTACAATGATTTCTAATGTCTCAGAGGGATTGTTTTATGTTTTGTGGGAAGATTTAATTTGCAAAATCTTTGCCTGTGCTAAAACTTCTATTGGTTCTCAGCTAAGGAAATTGGATTTAATAAAAAAGTGTTTCAATTCTAGAGTAAATAGAGCAAATTAGAAATGTGAAATAAGTATGTTCATTATTAATATATAACAGTAGGTATACATATATTAAAACAGTGTGAATGATAATATTGCTGAAAATGGGATCTATCATTCAGTGTATTCAATTCAAGAATATTATACATTAAAATATATATTAGAGTGTTAATAAAAGCAGTAATAATGCGTAAACCTGTTGAATTGCTACAGAAAAATATTGTACAGTGAAGTCAGTATGAATAAATAAATTATGAGGTGATAGCAACAAATAAGACACCAAAAAAGGGTTGCTAACTTTGTACAGTAGTCACACTAAGTTATTAGATAGTAATGAAAATTGAAACCAGAAATATAATTAAACAGTGTTAATCATTATAATAAACAGTATTAGTGTTAATATATATATTTATGTCTGCCAATTAAAGAGCCAATTTTGAACCCTCTTGAGCAGCCCCTAAAAAGCCAGCCTAAAATGCTAAGTCCTGTCAGCTCTAAGCTAATTAACGGCATTAGCCAGAAAGTTAAGTGAGACTGCTTTCAACATGAATTTTCTGGCAAATGCATGTATTTTTTCTTCAAGCTGGAATAAAAAATAAATAATAGCATAAGTATTGTAGTGTTTATCAATAAAAATCATTAAAATCGCTTTCCTCAAGTATTCTCCAAAACTTTTACACCTCAGGGAAGAAACACTGCTGAGAATTT